ACTATTGCTACCACATCTACCACCATCACCTCTACCACCACTACCACCACCTCCACTACCACTACTACCACCACCACCACCACCACCACCACCACCACCACCACCACTACCACCACCACCTCCACTACCACCATCACCACCAACTTCTCCTCCACCACCACCACCAAGAACGACAACACCTCCACCACTACTACCATCACCACCTCCATCACCACCACCAACAACAAAAATAACACCTCCACCACTACCCCCACCACCATCACCGCCACCACCTCCACAACTTCACCATTCCTAGCATGACTGGGAGATGTTGCTAAACCCATTGTAATGACAGCTTACCTCCACATCTTTGCAAAACTTTGAACTTTGTTATAAAGGATGTAGGTAGAATTGGTTTCAAAGAACAAGAAGGAATGAGCAGAGTCATAAATAAATAGGGAGAAAGCAAAGAAAGAGGAACTCAAGGTTGCTTAAGATGAATGAACTGACACTGAAGATGCTAAAAAGCAAGGGCAGAAGCCCTTGATAAGTCTACATACCTTCTCAGGCCTTTGGGTGCTGGCTAAAATGAACACTAGTAATCCTTTATTATCATTTAGTGGATCTGACTTATGGCAGTAACTGGTATAGCTACTTAGGAACAAATGATACTTCATCAGAAGAATGCTACACATTTCCCATGTTTAAAGCACAAAGTAGAATTCATGTAAAGTTAAATCTTTGGCATGGTTTGGTCATCCACTACTCCTAAGAAACGTAAGGGAATCATTGCTTTTTCTGAGCCTGGGGAACCCAGATTAGAGGAATTCTAAAGGCCAATAAAATGGCTCAGTAGGTAAAGGTACTTGTCATCAAGCCTGATGATCCAAGTTTGATCCCCAGACCCCCCATGAGCAAAGGAGAAAACACCTGCTGGTTATCGTCTTCTAACTTCCACACATGTTGCCCTGGCATGTGCATATAAATGAATGAATAAACAAACGAACAAATAAATAAAATGTAATCATCATAAAATTAGGCAGATCTTGAGTCCAGGAGGAGGGCAGAGCTGGAGAAAAGTATGCAGTTTGCTGAGTAACTTGGAAAAGTGATCAGTGTGGTAGCAGGTAGATGCGTCATGAAGCAAATACAACTCCAAGTTTAAATTTGTTCATTTCAAAGAACAGAACAGAACAAAAAAAAAATGCCAGGGGATTCTGGTTACTAAAAAAAGAGAATGCCCAGTCAGCATAGAAGGACATAAGGAATACTGTGACACACGAAAAGGCAGTGTTTGTATTTTTTTTTTTTCCCCGAAGAAGCCTAGAATTCCCCGCCTGTCTTGTATGTGAAACTGCATCTCCACAAACCCCAGGTCCAGGGGTATCATGACAGCAGCTCAGTAAATGCTACCTAGTTGTTTGTGGACTTCCTCACTGCCTGCATGGTGCAGACACAGACACCAACACTCACCTTTGGTATGATGTCTTTTGTTCTCCAGTTTGAACAACATCAACTCATCAGATGTAAAGCGATCGGGTGTCAAGAGTTCCGGGTCAGAAGGAAGTGCTCCCATCAATAATTCTGTCATCCCTGTTGACTATAAGAGTTTTAAAGCCACCTGGACTGAAGTGGTGCACATCAACCGGGAGCGGTGGCGGGCCAAGGTGCCCAAAGGTAATCTGCTCTTCGGGAAGAATCTTCTAGAATTATCCAGAAGGACTCAGTGTCCACTTGCAAAATCAATGGCTCCCCTCTGTGATTTATGGGCCTTTCAAGTAAAGCACATTGTTTCAGGGACTGGAGGTGCTGAATGCTGGGTACCACCATCTGCCAATTCTCATTCTGTAGAACACTGAATGCGTGGTAGAATGTGGGAACCCTCCAGGCCTCTCCTCCCTGTGTCTTTGTGTAACAGAGCTAAACCTCTTTTTCCAGTGTGGAGTTCTACAGGCCTGGGATTAGCATTTCCTGGTGCCTGCTAGATTACCGTGTATTACATTTCATGTCAGTTGCCACAGCTGTAAAGCCTTTCTGTCCTCGTTTACCTAGGTAAAGCCCTGTCCACAGCTGCCTGCCTTTTGTGTTAGGGTAGGAGGAACTTTAATTTCCTCCCAGGAACTTTAAACATCCTGTCATATTCAGGGTTTTCCTCCACTCATTGCTCCAACCCTGGAATTGAAATTTTGTTTGTTTTTGAGGTGATGATAACTTGTAAATAAACTGAAATTTCTTGAAGCAAGTCTCATCAAAGTTCAGAGCAGAAAAGCTGTGACTCCTGCTATTATGCACAGAAACATGTGAAAATCTGTGCCTCTTGGGGCTTTATTAGTATGTTCACGTTTGCTTGCATTACTGAGCGTGATTGGCATGTATGGCATGATCATGTAGTTTAGGTGGAGAAGCCCTTGCACAAAGGAAGCTCATGAATCTGAGATGCCAGATCCAGGGGTGTCACAGATAGGAACTAGCTCTTGATGCTCAGTAATAGGGCTGATTGCAGCGGGCTTTGCCGAGGTGAACCTTCAATAGCACTCAGTGTCTGCTGGCACCTGTTGGTTGCCATCTGTTTTTTAGAGTCCATGCCCAGTGCCAAGGGGTGTTATGGATATCTCTATACTCTGGGTTCATAGGACAGGGCTCTTATGTTAGAGCAATGGTTCTCAATCTGTGGATCATGACCCTTGGTGGGGGGGTCAAACATCCCTTTCATAAGGGTTGCACATCAGGTATTATGCATTAGATATTTACATTATAATTCATAACAGTAACAAAAACCACAGTGATGAAGTAGCAACAAAAATAATTTTATGTTTGGGGGTCACCGCAACATGAGGAACTATATTAAAGGATGACAGCATTTGGAGGGTTGAGAATCCAGTGTTAGTGTTTGATACAAAGGATGAGTAAGAATTCAATCAAGACCTTGTACTTATTATCAATATCCCTGATCCCCAAACCCTCAGAGCAGCCAAGGTTGTTGAGACTTTGTCCTCAAAAAGCACCAGTACTGTTACTCTGCCTGTGTCAACACATGTGGAAAAAAGAAAGGATGGTCGATGTCTTGGGGTATTTCCTGTTGCTATGACAAAATATTTGGTACTCAGTAATTTACAAAGAATCAAGAGAATGATGTTGGCATCTGGTCCACATGTTTCATGGTGGAAGTCCTCCCATGAAGAGACAGAGCCACTATGCAAACTTTAATCTCTATTCCTATAACCCCACCAATGTCATTGTGGAGGCCTCACCCTCAAAGTGTGGTCTAGTCTTCATTACCTCCCAAAGTCTCTGCTTCCCATCAACATTTAAATTCAGGGATTGATGTTTTGATGCATGAAAGCTGGGGGACAACTCTAAGTCTGGCAGTAGGTTCTGCAGCCCCCACAAAGTGGGGAGAGAGGCACCCTGCAGCTAGGTTGTTTCAAAGGCCAGCTGACTTGCCAGCAAAATACTGCAAAAACCATTGCAGGTAAGGCAAAGAGTTTAGATTGATGGTGTTCTTGGGGGCATAATCAAAACATTATCATTTGGGGACAGATGTTGCACCCTGAGCTATGGAGGACACCAACACCTGCTCTATATTTTAATTGTAAGCACTCAGGGTCCATTCAAATGCTTCAAGCATTTAAATCCTCCGTGTTGGCAGGCTACTGCACCATCAGAAGAACACTCTCCCATGATCATTACACTTTAACATCCAATTTCTGACAAAACACAATTTAAAGAGGTCATTCAAAATCATTTGTCTGCAATTATCTCTGTTACTGAAATTACCTTCTGAACTAATCACCTGGGGAAACGTTAGATGGCTTCTTTTCCAAAAAATAACTGATCCTTTCAAAAGGTTGGAGAAACACCTCATCACTTTAAAATGCACTAGCTTTGCAGCTAGAGATATGGAAACTATTTTAAGCAGCATGAAAGGACTTGTTCCTAAGCAAGCTTGAGGCTTTCAGGAAGGCATCCAGTAGGTAAAATGTGAAGGACACTGGGATCTGCCTGGCAGCATTAGAAATGGGAGCAGGAGGGTTGGAGGGGATAGCCCACATGGTAACATCCTTGGAAAGGAAGCCTGCACTGTGGTATGCATTTGTTAATCCCAGTGATGGGAAAGCAGAGACAGGGTGCTCACTTGGGCTCACTGCTCAGCCATCCTATCCCACATAAAGAGCTGTAAGTCAGTGAAAGACCCTGTCTTGGGGGTGAAAAAGGTGTATAGCACTTGAGGAACCCCCCCCACACACAAATACATACAAATGCATGCACACACACAAATGAAAGAAGTTAATGTGCTCACCAAAGCAAAGGGAACAAGGCACAGCCCCTAGGTTATATATATTTAGGCACAGACAGCTTAGTTATGGAGGACACATTTAATTATCAGGGAAATGGAGAATTGAATCTTGACTTGCACAGTTCCATTCTGGGAGGTTCTTTGAGACTCCATTCTGGACTATACCTTTCAGAGTTATCATCAAGGACTGAAGAGCATATGAAGAGCTCTGGGAACAGGACTGGCCCCGGTGGTACTTGACAAGAGGGAGCTGCCTTTTAAACACAGTAGAGAGGGAGGCCACATGTGTACCAGGGTTAAAGCAATGACTGTGACAGTGTCAACTCAATGAAGCTCACACATTCAGTCTCAAAGTTGTGCTGTTCATGGACCAACTGATGTGATGGAGAAATCTGGTTTGAAGTTACATTGGTCATGGTCAATTTGAGTAAATGATCCCAGGCTGTTTTTCTCTTTGGCTTTTTTTTTTAACCCCAAAAGACTCAAATTTTGAGGAAAGCTGCCTTCTATGGGTATTTGAATATATATTGTTAGGAAATAAGATAAGGTTTAGGTTATATAATCCAACCTGAATTACAAAGTTCTGTAGACTCCATGTTGGTTAGGAAAGATTTAGTCAATTCTTTGTATTGTTTTCTAGATCAAACATCATTTCCACCCTAAAATTTAAGGGTACAACAATTGATAAGTGGGGTCTATATTTATTAATTTCCACACAGTATTTAATACTTTTTACATATTCATTTCCTGATAATGGAATAATGTGTGTAGATCACAAGTGCTGAACTATTTAAAATATATATGAAGAAGAGAATAAAATCATTCTACCCTATCTAGATGTCAGTAACTCTTGCTCTGAACCAATCTAGTTTTGCTCAGCTAACCCTAACTGAGTGTTAGGGTTCCAGGTCATTATTGCATGTAATAAAATTATAAATATAAGTAAGATTCTTCTGACAACAGAGATCAAAACTTCAAAAATTTTTGATGCTAAATTCATCTCTAGCATTTTTTTCAAAACCAGATTTTCTCTCTCAGATGCAAGAACAGTGAAACTACCCATTTCTCTCTACTGTCATTTCCCATTAGGATGTCCGCATTCTTATTGTTGAGTCATAATAATTTTTGAATACTAAGGATAATATTTTAGTTGTCAAAGTATCCTTCTTTAAGTTTCTTTATTGGACAATGAGTCTCAATAAATGTGATAATATATCACATATGATATATAGTGAAAATCTTTGCACTTGCTGAGAAATCCATTTTTGCTTGCTTATCAGCACTCAGCTTTTGTTGAATACTGTGAAGTTCTCAGCCTGGTGATTAGAACAGTGTTGTGTCCCATTCAGCTTAACTTTGCACATTTCTTTTTACATTTATTTTTGTACATGAGTGTTTTGCCTGTATATGTATGTGCACCATGTGTGTGCCTGGTGTCCTCAGAGATCAGAAGAGAGTATCAGGTTCCCTCATGCTGGAGTTAGGGATAGTTGTAGACCAAGATGTGATCCTCTGTGAGAGCAAAAAGTACTTTTAACCACTGAACTAACTCTCCAGCCCATTATATTATTTCTAAATAATTGCTTCAATTTTCATCTTTAACATTTATTTCTATTCTAATAATAAGCTTTGCAATTTCATTGACACATTTTCCTCAATTTTGGATTTTTGATATTGATTTACATTTTCTATCTGTGAGTGTCACAGATACATAGGGCGCTGCTCTAAGGACACCTTCTGAGCTCTTCGGTGCCCTCAGTGCCCTCTGTGGCCTTAGTGCCTTCCTTGTTTCTGTATGGAGCATAACTGAGAGATTATTATGTGCTTATGTCAGCCAGTTAGATTCCTATCTCTTTCTTGTGTTCATATTCCCATCCTCTCTCCCCATCTCTCTTTCTTTCCTGTTTAAATCAGCAGTTCAGAGTAGATCAAGGGATAAGTAGCCCAGTTGTATTTCCATTAAGGAATCTATAGGGTCATTGCATACGGAGGAAACTGAGTAAAGATTCAAGTGAATTCTTGAGACTGTATAGGCATCTAGTGTGAGCAGCCCCAGATCTTGTGTGAGAAGTGTAATTTACCAAGGACTCTGCCACACCCTAACTCTTCAGCTGCTTTCCATTGGTTACTTTCATGATGAGCTACATCAAGCCAAGATGGGTTGAAAGAGAAGCAAAAGAAAACAGACCATAGAGTTTACAGCCTACAAGTCAAGAAGCCTTGGGATGCCAAGGAGTCTAGATCTAAGACCTGATTAATGACTTCTTTGTATCCATGCCATTACTGAAACATGTGGGTCCATGCCGATTGACAGTGTCTCACTGACTTGTTCTCACTGTAGGTTGATGGGCTCTATAGCAATAAATTCACTCTAAGAATAAATATAAGGGAACATGATTGCAGTGGGAATATGATTTAGTCTAATATGTGTTTGCTGTTGTCTCTCAGTCTTCAGAAGCATCTCCTTGTGTACTCTGTGGCTGATGACACTCTCACAAGCCAGAGGCAGAAGGTGAATAGACAAGCCAAAGGGCATTGTTGGGCCATGGCTAGAACTTACTAAAAGGTTATTGCAGAGAAAGAATTCATACTGTGGGCCAGGCTCATATCTGATTTGATCATGTTGTAATAAGAGCTATCATTTGTTAACTTAAAATAACTTTTCCACATCAGCTACACTTGAGAAAACACGGATTTGCCTCTGAAATGTTCCATCCCCTTCTTCTCAGTTGATTTTCTACATCCCCCATAAAAAATTGGTCTGACTCAGTTGTCAAATGAGTTTTCCTTTCTAAGATACTAGTGTATGCTCTTCCATAGTAAAGTACGATTTAATAGCTTCAGATTTCATTTAAATGATTTTCAACTTGGAGATATTTTGAGTGTTGGAAGTTTGCCATGTACTCATTAATGATTCTGTGAAGGTGGCCATAGCTAATCTTCTCTGATAGTGCATTCTAAATATGAATTACTCTGCCTCCCCTTGCTTCTGTTTCCCTCTATATAATAAAAAGACATCTTTTTGAAAAAAATAACAAAATAAAATATACTGTGATATAACAAAAGCTATCACACTGGAATTGGACAAGACAAACAAAGAAGGAGAAGGTGCAAACTTCAGAGGCCTACATATTGTCACGTTCAGGGACCCCACACAAACACTAAACAGGAAGCCATAATATATATGTAGAGAACCTGCGGCAGCGCTGTGCATGCCCTGTGCATGCTGCCCCTGTCTCTGAGAGTTCATATGTGCATCGATCCTATTGATTTAGAGGGCCTCGTTTCTTTGGAGTCCTCCATCCCCTCTGGCTCTTACACTCTTTCTTGCCTCCTCTTCTGTTAGTTTCCCTGAGCCCTGAGGGGAGGGATTTGATAGAGACATCCCTTTTAGGGCTGAGTGTTCCAAGGTCTTTCACTCTCGGCATATCATCTGGCTGTGGGTCTCTGTATTTGTTTCAAAATACTGCAGGAGGAAGCTTCTCTGATGATGGTTGAGAAAGGCACTGATCTATGAGAACAGGAAAAAATAAACAGTCATCTTTTTACTTGTCTATATTAAGTTAAGGAAGCTAATGTTTGTCAAATATTACTTTCAGAATAGGACCAGAGAGTCTGTACATTTTGGTGTTGTATCAACCTAAGGTTCTAGGTTACACTGATAGTTCATATAAATCATATGCATGGGCAGTATCTCACGGTTTTATCAAAACCTTCAGGAGCACATGATGTGTGCAATGCACTATGCCAAATAGTGATGAGTGTGACATTTGTCCTGCCCTCAAAACACCTATGGATATCAGGAAGCCTGAATGAATGTCCTAGGACTGCCCCTCTTCCTCCATGCTTGGCAACCTACTGGGAATGTCTACCCACCATCTCCTAAGGGCATTCTTCCATTTTTAGTTTACATTTTTCTGGAAGTCAGAAGTTGTATTGTGCTAGTTTGGGATATGATTGTTATTTTTAAAAAAATATTTTATACCCTTTCATTGTAAATTGTAAATATATCTTGTTGAGGAGAAGCATGTCATAACACACTAAGTGGTGAATGCTTAGATTTTACATCCTAGCTTCTCAGTACTTGTTATGGGCCAAGATTACCCAAGAAGCATTTGAAATATCCTATGTGTATCCATCTCCTTTTAAAATCTGATTAAATTTGCTGGAGATGAGGCTGAGTCATTGATTTGGATGAGAGAATGAATGAGTTATCAGATGGATGGATTGCTGGATCAATGAAATAATGAATAAAAATGTCATGCTGTATTAAAGAAGACCTGGAATAAACAAGTACGAGGGCCTGGAAAGTTAAAAAAAAAATAAGCTAGGCATCCTGAGCATCTACAAAATGATTGTCACAGAGTATTGTCAGCCCACCAATCTAGGCCAAAATAGAACTTGGAGTGCTTTTGCAGCTAATACAAAAAGAAATATCGGATGCACAGGCTCTCTGGTGTCCATTAGATTAAAGCAATCATATTGTGTGAAAACAGCTCAAAGACCAAAACTAACCCGAGAGGAAGACAGAAGACCCCTGGTAATGAGCGAGAAGGAGTTTGTCACTCATCTAGAGAGAAATTCTATAATGCTTTTCATAGAGGAGGCTGAAAATGTCAGAAATGTCTTTAGAGTGAGCTCCATGGGACAAATCCCTAGAACTTACAGAGGATTTGGCTGTGTAAGTGGCCTTTCATACATGTTGTTCTCTACAGCCCAGACCTGCTGTTTGCCCTCTAGCCTCCATGATCTGATCTGTGCCTGTCCTAGGTCATTTGAGCATTTTATCTATGACTAACTCCTTGCCAAATCTCCTTTGGGCCAGTTCAACACCCACATACAAAACAAGCATGTTTCTATCATGGCCTCCATGTTGTCTAATTTCTCTAATGAATGCTATAGTTCCTATAGATGGTTTTCTAGTCAGCTTCTCATCACTCAGGATTTGGTCAAATTCTGTCTTCTCAAGAAAGCCTTCTCCAGCCCTCTGTTTAAAGCCACCTCTTGCCCTGTGCTATGTCCCATCCTGTCCCGTCTCTTTATATTCAATTCTTGCAATATGCTTTCAATATCCAAAATTATCTCCATTTGTTTACTTAATTATAATCTTCTTCATGGTTCTGTCATGCTTGTTGTCATATCCCCAGGATCTAAAATTGTTCTTGACAATATAGCTGCTCAGTAAGTACCAGCTGAATGAATGAGCCAATCTTTCCATAAATATTTGATGCATGCACTTGTACTATATTTTCATTAAGCACAGAGTCAATCAACTGCATTAGAAAGAATATGGATACTCAGTAAAAGGGAGGACCCAGGACAGGTTTCTGGCCAAACTGAAGGCTACCCCTCATCCTGAGGACAGTTGAGTACCATGGGATTTGGGGTTTGCTTTTAGTTTTATGAGGTTTAACCCACCTCTTCCTACTTTTAAATTCACAAACTCTGGCTTGAGTTTATAGTCTTCTAATGATGGTCATTTTCTCTGACTTATTGTTCCATAGTCAGTTGTTAATGTTTAGGCTTTAGGTTCTAAGCAAACCTCATTAAATGTCATATTATTTCTTTGACTGTGGTTGGGGGAAAGTGTCTCTCAGCCTCGATTTTCATACCCATAAAATAGGATCGTAAAATAGTTTAATGATGATCAGAAACAACTTTTGAAGATTGCTGAGCATAGTGCCTGGCATGAGGACATATTCACTAGAGGCTATCAGCAGTAAGAACAGCAGTGTGCATGCCATCGCTGTTACATTGCCATTATGTTCTCTGGACCCCACCTCTAACTCAATACTTTCAGATGTGATCTGTCTTATTGATATTCTAAATACACATGTCACTCTGACTTAAATGAATCAAGACTATATCCAACACTCTCAATAGACCTCTTAGGTCATTTTAGTGTACTAGTTCTCATGAGCATCATTGTTGATGATTACTTTTCCAAAAAGGCTGTTTTCCTAACGATAGACCTCTCTTTCTCTTTCCTCATCTCTGTGGATACAGAAGAGAAAGCCAAGAAGGAAGCTGAGGAGAAGGATCGCCTGGCTGCTGAGGAAAAGCAAAAGGAATTGGAAGCCCAAAGCCAAACTGAAAAAGGCACATCCAGCAAAGCTGAGAAAAAGACTTCAGGAGAAACAAAAGGTCAAGTCAATGGAGCTCGTACAAACAAGGGGAAGAACCCCAAAGGCGACAAGGCAGGAGAAAAACAGCAGAATGGTGAGAAGGGGCTGCCTTTGAATGACTCTCTTTGTGGTGATAATGATGTGACAAACAGAAACTGGTGACACTCTCCCTTTGCTGGCAGCTTGCAAGGTTCCATGTTCCTCCAGAGATCCAGTCAGGATCCCATCCTATGGCCACCAGCTTAGCTCTGCCTTTCTCTCTGAAAGGTACACACCTTTCTGGCCCTTTCCTGATGCCCTGGAGATGCTCACAAGTGATGCACAGTCCTATGGACAAGTCCAGCACTGCCTGGATTGCTAACTTCTAAAATGACTAGAGGAAAGTCAATCTCCCAAATAAATATTCCATCCCTTTAACCAGGCCAGGCTCTGGTCTGCAGGGGACCAAAGTGTGTGTCTGTATATTGACGCGGACCTAAGCACACACACTGGGTGACAAGTCAGCCTGGTTTGGCTGTAGATGAAGACCTCCTGAGATACAGGTTTCCAGTTCTAAAATCAAAATGGTCCAGGCAAACTGAGGGCAACGAGCCACCAACATTTTCTGACAGTTGTTGGGTTCTTATGTTTAATGCAATAAACATTTATTTAACAACTCTCTGTCAAACTCTATATTAGGTCTGGGGAATTTAGGAATGGAAAGGGTATGGGAAGCCTGTGATTTTGTGTGGATATAGACACCCTCACATGTGATTCTAAAGGTATGTGTACATGATGCCGAGGTGAGAGAGGGTAGAGTAGCAGGTAAAATTTCTAAGAGTCCTGCACAAAGGAAGAGATTGTTGTTAGTAGCTGAGTTAGTGAGATGAGAAAAGTATCTGAGATGACTTCAGAAGGGAATAGTTTCTGGTTTTTCAAAGTTTTAGTTTGTGGGTCAGGTAGGGGAGAGGCTTTTCAGCTGGAGAGATTAAGGTATGTGTCAAGGCATGGAATCAGCTCCCGTGGGCAGCCTACAGATGGGCAGGAAATTCTGTTCCTGCAGCTTGCCGACAGCAGACTCTGACTGAATAACAGGGCACCTTTGCACACAGATCTGGAGTCAAGTTACAATCCTGTTGCTTCTCTCTACTTGGAGAACTTAGTTAGAATATATAACTGTTCTGCCTTTGTATAAAATACATATAAAACCTGTTCAGATCCTCACTCTCTTGTGAGAGTTCAGTAATAATCGTGGTAGCCAAGCCAGTGGGAGACTCTGCCTCAAAACCCAAGGTTGATGGTACTTAAGGAACACTCAAGGCTGATCTCTGGTCTCCACAGGTGTATGTACACACATATGCATTCATGTACACACATGCACATACACATTCACACAGGTACACATACAAATCCTAACATGGTAGACAAGGTTCCATGTTACAGATGGGAAAATCGAAACTCAGAAATTAAAGGACTTAAGTAGTCATCAAGCAGAAATGCTTGGCTTTGGGGAACCCCCATTCTCTGTTCTATAGCCAGCTCTTGCTTACTATCTGCCAAGCCCAGCACTGTTAGGAAGAGGTGGAGATCAGAGGAATGTCAAGCCCTGTCTGCTGTGTAGAAGACAGGGATGGTACATGCTTTCTGTAATGGGCCAGATGCTAAATCCCTTTGACTCCACAGCCCCTGTGCTTTCTGTCACAGCTATTCAACATAGTCCTCAGCTAAGGACGGCTCATGAACACGTAAGTTAGGTTGTAGTCCGGTAGGACTTTATCTTTGGACATTGGAATTTGAATATAATCTAATATGCATGCCACATGCTCATTTTCAATCAACCTTTTGTAGATATAAAAGTCATTTTTAGTGTGTGGATCATACAAAACCAGGCAGTGAAGTCATGAGACCTAGATTTCCAGCCCTTGGTGTAGTTGTTGAGAGGAACCAATGAATCTAAACACCTACCACACACACACACACACACACACACACACACACACACACACACACACACTGTCAGCAGGTTGTCAACTCTACAAAGAGTTGGAGCAGGGGGAATATCAATTAATGTTTATTATTTGAGAACCTGAAAGGCGCAAATCAGGAGCCTGAATCTTGAATCAGGGGATCTTGGTGTCATGACCATGTTGTAAAGTGGGTGGCAGTCTACCATTTTCCTTCCAATTTAAGTATGGAATGAGGAGTGGGAGAAAAATCAATTTAGAGCAATAATAAGAACGGCTGGGGTAGTTGGGGACTTGGCTGCAGCAGCCTAATTAAGATGATTTAGAGCTGCCCAGAAGGTGCCTTCATCTCTTTTATTGAAAATCAGTTCACATCTGCCACGATTTTATGTACAGCCCATGGGAAGTCATCTAATGGGTTCTGCTCTGAGAGTGTTAGCAAACAGACATGTGTCACTTTCTCAGAACACGTCTATGTGGACCACAAAGGTGTTTTCTAGGTTAGGGCTGAAGGATATTGGCTAGCGGTCCCCTTTGATGGTTAAAGGAGCCTCTAAACCTTGGTTTTCACCAAAGCAACTTCTCTGTGAGCCTCCTCAGCCCAGCTAAGAAGACAGGCTGTGTGTTGCTTGTCTGCCCCCTCCACACACTTCTGCTACAGAGAGAGCTCTGACTCAGAGCAACCTGACAGAGAAGTGAGGTACATGAAAGTTCACGTGGGGAAGATGGACTGTCGAAAACTGCCAGCGATTAATTTAACCACGGGACCTGAGGTGCTCATTCCATCTCTAATGTTCTTCCACACAGACAGCTGGATTGTTCCATAGGAATTGCAAAGGAACTCTTTCTGGTTCACTGGTGGTTCAGAGGATACTAATCATGTCTCCCACCTAAGACAATCCTGAACAGACTCTAAATACCCTTCTTAATCCTTCCAGCCAATCTGTCCATCCCATTTCAGAATTAAGAATTAAAGCAAACCTTATGAGTTAGTTGATTTCTAAGGTAACTTCAGATTTGTCAAACTAACTGTATATTCTCTATAAAATATATCACAGCCAAAAAGAGCCTAAAATTATCCTACTATTACCATTTCTTCCTAGATCTATAAGCAAAAGGCCTTTAAAATGAAAAGAGTACTAGAGAGTCTGAAATCTGAAATGTGAGTGTCACAGGAAGATACAGGAGAGCTGGGCCTCTGGAATCAGACCCATCCATGTGGCCTGTTATTGCTTCACTGGGACTGATGAAACATGCCTGGGGCCAATTCCCTGCAAATCAGCTAGAGCACAGTTACTTTGTAGGAGCACCATTGGTCACTTGTTCAAAAACATTTTCAGACAGGTAGCTTCGAGCAGATCTATAGTGGCTGCCAGGTGTAGTTTGCCACCAGAGGAAGATGGAGATGTCATGCTAGGGTAGAAGGTAAGGTCAGAGTCGTCATGTCTGAAACATGTGCTGGTGGTAGGCACCTGGCCAACATTTGTTCTTTTGGCTACAGTGCTACCAAGGGATGTCTCCACGTGGAAAACATCCTCCAGTGCTAGGTGAGTTGATAGCTCCCTGACTTGCTGAAGGAGTCTGTGATGCATCCCTTCACTCTCCACTGTGGTTCCTTCCCACTGGGGTTGTTATAAGACTTCAATGCAGAGATTATGTGCAAAGCACTTGGCACACTGCAGCACACACTGAAAAAGAATAAAAATTCCTCACTTGTACATATCCTGCTACCTCAGCTCACTGCAAAACTTATTGCTAGGATCCCCTTGATTCTGTGACTATGTTGTATTTGAGTAATAAGGTATTCCTGGCTGTGTGCAGGTGAAAAAGAAAGGTGCCTTTGGTAAAACTGGTAAGAAAAATATCAAACACTTGGAAATCAGGCTGGTACAAAACACCCCTCCTTCCTGTTGAATATTATTCCAGTCATGAAGCAGATCGCCAACAATGACATTCGCAACAAAGGGTAACTCCTTGTTGTATAGCAGGCCACATAGGAAATATTCAAAGGCTGTCTGTCTCTGCCACACCCATTCAACTATGTTCTTACAAAGTGAAACTACCACAGACAATATGTAGATATGGGTAAGTCATGTGACAAGTGCCAATAACATGTCATTGGCTCTAACAGGTGACTGACCAGATTGGTCCATAACCTGCTGACCCACAGTTTTGGGGAATACAAGGGTGTTTAAATTTGCTTTTTGGTACTTGATTCATATAATGATAAAGTTATTTGCTAGATAAGAGATTCTGACTTGTACTGAAGATTGCCTGGAGGTCATGCACATTATTCTTTGGTTACTAACACTTTGTCTATTACCTAAAAGCCATGTTTTACACACTTCTAAGATGCTCATAAATACCCACTTCCTTGGATGCTCTTAGGATCATTTTGTTTTCTCTCTTTCCCTCATCAATGAGTTGTGTACATTCTTTACATGTGTTTGCTCACATTTGTGAGAGTAGTATTTTTTTTTTTTTTTGATTTTTCGAGACAGGGTTTCTCTGTGTAGCTTTGTGCCTTTCCTGGGACTCACTTGGTAGCCCAGGCTGGCCTCAAACTCACAGAGATCCGTCTGGCTCTGCCTCCCGAGTGCTGGGATTAAAGGCGTGCGCCACCACCGCCCGGCGAGAGTAGTATTTTTAACTTTGGAAAATGATATTTTGACAAGCTCATTAATTAGAATAACACTCTTAGCTGTCTTAGGATAGGGACCACTGCCTTTGAGCAGTACACCACAATTACATTTAGCACTTAAATGGCTCAGGTGCATCTGTCCACTGGCCTGTATGTAAAGTAGACATTATTATCCCCATTCTGCAGATAAGAAACTAAAACATAACTATTAGTTAACACAGTTAACTAGCTATTAATTAGTATAACTTACTTGTGTTCCAGCTTTTCCCTTACTTCACAGCCTAACAACACAACTGCATTGCCTTTCTTAGAAAAATAGCTTTCACTGAAGTACAACCCTGTTTGAGTGGATATTTTCGTTTTAATTTCTGACTGTAATCTGATTTCCAGAACCTATCACGTGGTTACAAACGACGCTGATACCAGGATGTGTGCTCCCTCACACCTCTGTGCTGCACTGTGTGTCCCATCCTGACAGGGTTGAAGCGTTTCTACCTCCTCAGCTGCACGCACTCAGTTTGTCACGCTTATTGTTTTCAGGTGACTTGAAAGACGGGAAAAGTAAGGCAGACAAGAAGGATCACTCCGGCACCGGAAATGATTCAAAGAAAACAGATGGTAAGAGTGTCATTGTCATCACCATTTCCATAGAGTGTGCAGCTACTGCGAACTTGTTAGCATTGTGCTAGGAGGGAAGCAGTGCTGTTAATGCGTCCTCACATTCCACCCTGAATGAGACCTCATTGCATTGAAAGAGCGCCATCCTCTCTCTGCAGTAAGTTACAAACCCCCACTGTGTCTTTTCTCTCCAGCATACTTTCTCATCACAAATGCTTCCTTTTCCGCCTGACATTCTTTATTGCAAACTTCATATAAAACTTGATTCTAGACTTGCTGACTGCAGTTCAGTAGACTAACACACATTGCTAATATATGAGCTTGGAACCATTGATTGCACGACATAAATAGGATATGTTTAATGTTTTCAGTTTTCACATTTTTTTCTCTTGAATGAGTTATTACTTTTGGTAAAAAATAAACATGAGGATCTGTTCAGTGTTGGGTTGGGAATCAAAATACACTTTCTTAGACTCCAGTTTTCACTAGCATGAACAAGTATTGAAGACAGTGACAATGCAGGATCAAATGGCATGAACCTACAGTGTTATAAATGGGTCTGCAGTGCAGTGCACATCATGAATGAACTTGTAGTATAGAACAGCTTCATGAATGAATAAATGGGCCTACAATGTCATGAATAGACCTTAAGTGTTAGAAATGGGCCTATTGTCCAAGGCATTTAATCAATAAGCCTGTGGTGTCATGAATAGACCTGTTATGTGATGTATTTTATGGGTCCACCTTTAACTTTACATTAACATCCAAAAGCTGGAAGTTGCAATTGCATTACCCTCTCAGCTTGGAATTCCTAGATGGTGCCATCTACCCTCACCTGTTATACAAATTTCATTGTTTCATTGTAACCCAGTCTTTTCCTGATCACCCCTTCATGCATGGGCATGATATTCAGATAAAGGGAGCTTCTAGGAAATGGTTTTTGTGAAGGGTGCCATATTTACTTTGCATTTTATCCCTCTTATGACATTCTGTTTAATGATAAGCTCTTTGTTGAATAGTTTGGATAGAATGTCTTAGAAGAACAAATGCTGGGTAAACAAATTAGGAATAAAAAGAAATTTAAGAGCAACAATTTAAATACATATTAAAAGGCATTAAGAATGGATTTGATCAAAACATATTGCATACTTAGATGAAATTCTCAAACAAGTAATAATACATTTTGAAAAAGAAATAAGAAGAAGTTCAAGGTCATCCTTGTGTTCAGGATGGTCCTGGGCCACATGAGACAAAGTTTCAAAAAATATGTGGAGGCTGGAGCAATGGGAGAGCAGTTAAGACCACTTGTTGCTCTTAAAGAGGACCAGGATTTGATTTCCAGTACCCACATGTTGGCGCACAACCATATACAATTCCAGTTCCAGGAACAAGACACCCTCTTCTGCCATCTCCAGGTACTGCATGGATGTGGCACATGCATATATTTGTAGGCAAAATAGCCATACACATAAAATAATAAAAGTAAAAGAATTAGGGGAAGGTGTCAGCCCCCTTGCTGTAGCCATGATGGCACCTGTCTTTGCTTTCATATGTAAAATTTGTTCTTAAACTGCTTTTTAAAAATGCAACCAGAAAACTCACTCCAGGTGTCTTATCATTTAATACCTAGGGAACTCACACCTGTAATTCCTCACCAGAAATTTCATGCAACCAGAAATCACTTGCCTAATGAGTGAACCCTCCTTGAATAATTATGACTAAGAGGTGAATTGTGCAGAAATAAATTGCAATTCAAAATGGTTACTTCTTAGCTATACTCTCTATGGGAAAAATTGCTCAAATACCAGAGGCTCTTTGTCAGGTATCATCAGACCAAGTCAAGGCAATTGACTCACCACAGAAATTCTCTGTGAAAGAACAATGCTTAAAGCCAGCACCCAGACACCTGCCCCATCCTGTATTTAACAACTGACCATGCTCCCTTATATGAGTTCCTACCGCATAAAAGCCTAAAATCAAATCAATCCCCTAATTTTTAATATGGAAGCTTGAACTTCATAGGTATCATCATCATCATCATCATCATCATTGCCATCATTATCACTGAAGAGCAAACCCAGGGGCTGTGCATGCTACCCAAGAGTTCTACAAATAAGCTGTCTCCCAAACCTCATTTAGTTGTTTTTAACTAACTGGCATGATGCCATTACAAGTGCATTGTGGGTTAAATTCGATCATCTTCATAAAGCCTTCTTATTTTAACTGTGCCCTTAAACTGAATTATTCCCAAATATTTAAAAGAATTAAATTGATTGGTTCAGCGATTAAAATAAGTTCTAGGATCTCTGGAACCAATAAGCAGAAAAGGTGATTGCTTTATGAACAGGATTCTTGCTCTGATGTTACAATGAACTGGTTGCAGTAAACAATGACAAGCCCTGCCCTCTGTCCCTGTCATCCACCTGTGACACCAACCTGCAACTGCCTCAAGAGGGATTCAGTATGCCATGTGCTTGTAGGCTTGTAGGAAAACAGGCTGAGTGTGTTTCAAGTCCTATGTCACTGCTTTGGAATCAGCAAGACTAAAAGCATTAAGCTTTGGAGACTTGATGCTATTTTCATTTAAAATCATTACCAAGACTGAAACCATTTCTTGGTAGGATGAAGTGGAAAAAAAATTTGAGGATTTTCACTTCTGCTTTCCTTTTTGGTCACCAAAGCCCTCTATTGAAAGGAAATATATTGATCAGTACTTAGGTTGACTTATAATATGGAAATAACATTAGAAATATTTTTCTTTACTGGGTCTTATTGTATTTGATAACCAGGGGGAGCTGATTGAACTTCTCAGTGACCTTCCTTCCATCCTTACTTCTGAGGACCACTGGAGGCTGTAGCATGGAGTATCCTGGTATCTATTTCTACCTGCTAGAAAGAGGGAGCCTGGGGCATCTTATGTACCGAGTGTGCTGGCAATGAGGCTCCCCTGTAGCATCCTTTTGGTCTCCTTTTCAGACAGATGTGCTGCTGTCTTCTTTTAGTCATTTTTTATTGTTTTCCTGGTCCTTAATCTTGAGGAAACTTTGCTGTCTTTAAGGCAGATGTTCTCAAATCTGATTCTCTTAAGAATTTTTCTCCACCGTATTGTCACAAACTTTACATTCTGTAATTGTGTCTTCAGATCATATGATGTGTAAAATAAGTCAAAATGATAGAAGTCTGGAAACTCTTGCTGATAACCGACCTTTTTTCCCATACGCAAGTTGGCATTGCTGTAGCCAGGACCTGGAATCCTTTCTAATTACTTTAAAATTAGCCCTTATTAGCTCCAGTGCTGAGCTTATTTTCAATACTCCGCACTATTGCACATTCCATAAAGATAAACATTCTGAGGTTATTTTCCACAAATAGCTAAGCCCATCTCTATCTCTCTCTCTCTCCATATATATATATATCTTTACAGGAGGGAAGCATACATCCTCCTCAGAGGCTAATACTATATCTTACTTTGCGAAAGTATTTTGTTGTAGCCTTTTATGTATTGGAAGAGAAAGTAGACATTTCTTTAATAACTGAATTGCCCTTAGCATGAGAATCCAGGATGGGTTGTTCTCCATGAATGCAGAGGGCCCAAACATCTGGAGTGCTCTGGGTCCCAATTAAGATAACTCATCGTGACAACACACGTTCTGATTAATATCCTATTCCCTTAGCCATTTGTCCGTGAAAGCTCCTTTGACCTCATTAAACAAACTGACAGTGAGTGAAGGCTGTGCTTCAGGATAAAGAAGCATGAAATGGTTGTTTTCTGAAAGCATTTTGAAATCTTGTTTTCTCAAGTACTTTAGCTCATGTCTAAACAGACTCCAATGTCCCTGCTGGTGAACGGAAGGGAGAGTTGTAATGTTATTTCGGGTGCTTGCCGTGCATCAGGACAGTGTTTCACTACTGAGACTCCGCTCAGCTGTGTTGCCTAAACATTTGTACTGGTATACATCACTGTTGCTTTCTAATTAATTTTGGAATCTATTCTGAACATTGACCAAACAATAAGAGTGTCTGTGAGCTCACTTATGCAGAAATCTGCTTTTGTTGTTTTGAGGATGGCTTTAGGGAAATCTATGGACCAATATGGATGTTAGTGGGCAGATGGAGACTTGGAAAACCTCTTTGCTTATTTTAGTGATGGACTTCTCTCTTAGGATTAGGGAAACACAGGGCCTGTGCTTACTCATGGCCTTAGCCCTGATGAGTCATGGTGAATCAGACCCATCAACTCTTTAAGAGCCAACACTCACCACAGATCGATGCATTGTGCATATAATTTTAGGCTGAATCAATGGTAGATTATGGAGCAGAAGGTGGTGTGTGGTACCCATTTATTTTCCTCTGTAGACTTTTGCTTTGGAAGTTTATAACCCTAGTGTTTATACACTGTATATATGTGTTGTAGGATCTAAGATTAGTGGGTTTAAAAAATTAAATTGTGTTACAGGAAGGAAAATATCTAGCACCCATTCATGCTTTTGGCCCAGCTGCTTAGAACCCAGTCCCTTATCAAATAACCACACAGTTAAAACATCAAACAAAAGCTTAGTGCATGTTCTTTGTTAAAGGTAAAATTAAATCTTTTCAACAAGTTTATCTTACACTTATCGATATATAAACTTTCATTGTTTCATTTTTTCTTCTTGGAATTTCATTACACTCTTGATATATCATTATATTTGTTTAGGCACCTGACTTGACAGAGAAAATAAAAATAAAAAATTTTTTTTACACTTTTAATTAAAATGTAATCGTATCGACACTTCCCTGTCTAGGTCCTCTCTCTACGTCCTCCCATGTCACCTCCCTTCAACTTTTGTCATGTCCCCATCCCACTCTCAAATTGATAGCCTGTTTTTCTTTGATTATTAGTGTTGCATGTATATTATATAAGTGTGTGTATACATATGTACAAATATGTAAGTACAACCTGCTACTTCCATTTTTGTTGTTTGTATGCACATCGTTTCAGGGCTGACAATATTGCATGG